CTTGTAATATGTGTTATTAAATTCATGCAAAGACTTTAAATTTATGGGTTGTTTTACAGTATTAAAGAGAGAATATCCTTCAAGAAAACAAATGTTGCTTTCTTATACATACTTTTATGATAAAAGTACATTTTTTATACAGATGGAACTATATATATTGAGAGGTTGCTTTCTTAATTCCTATAAGGTCTGAATGCTTTAGTCATAAGTCATAAGTTGGATATGAACTTTACAAAGTTGCCACATTGCTTGGCGCTTAAAATTAAATTGTCCATTATTTATAATGTTTTCAAGACAAAAAGAGTATTCAAACGACAAATGTTACTTTATGATTATCAATTAAGCTCTGATGCACTTTGTTTTTAATTAGAATATGATTTGTTCATTTTGATGGGTTTGCCATATTCTTTTTCTTTTATACACAAAGCAAGCCATAATTTTAAATATAAATTTTAGCTTTCACATGCACAACAGATTTTGGTGCCTCAGGTATTTCCTTTTTCTTTTGTGATACATAGATCCCTGGGAGGTTCACATTATTTTACTTTGTGTGTGATAATAGGCTACACAAGATGAGACAGATTGAGCCACATCCTCAAATATATTTGATGCAACTGTCCCTGGCTTTTATCTTATATTAAGCTTCTTGGACTCAAATACTAGCTAAAGTTCAACATTAAATTTGAAAAGAATGGTAAAAGACTCAGGTTGGCACATTTTACAATAATAGAAAACAAATATTACATTATATTACACATTCAATAAGTTAAAAAATGATCACTAAACAAAACTAATAATATGTTGTACAAGCATGGGGTATTGTTAAGCAAGTACCTGTGGTGATCATGATCCCTGGAGCGTTCCCTAGACCTTGAACGTGACCTATGGCAACTTCTAGAATCATAAGTCCAAGAGCGCTCATAATCCCTATCACAATCTCGATCACTATACCTGTCACAATCTCTGCTCCTACAATCATAATCCCTCCCTCGCATGGCTATTCCCTTGGTCTTGGTCCCGACTTGACTCTCTCTCATGATCTCTGCTCCTTTCTTTCGATCTATACACCACCAATCTCGATCACTATACCTGTCACAATCTCTGCTCCTACAATCATAATCCCTCCCTCGCATGGGTATTCCCTTGGTCTTGGTCCCGACTTGATTCTCCCTCATGATCTCTGCTTCTTTCTTTCGATCTATACACCACCAATAAAAAGGATATCACAACACCCCCCCTC